ACGGAATGCAAAAAAAAAAAATAAATAGTCCCACAACTTTTAAAAAATGATCAAAAGGAGGACTTTTTACCGGATTTTACTGTTTCCGGACCGGAATGCCACATGGCGCACACGTGGCATATTTTGTTGCATATTTTATGCATACTTGTGGGACCAAAAATGTCACCTTCCTATACCTGTGGGACCAAAAATGTCAGCTCCCTATACCTGTAGGACTAGTTTTGATTTTTTTTCATATCCACGTCGGATGCCAGTGTGAAAAAATATATGCCACATGTGCGCCACGTGGCATTCCGGGCCGAAAACAGTAAAATCCGGCAAAAAGTCCTACTTTTGATCGTTTTTTAAAAGTTGTGGGACTATTTATATTTTTTGCATTCCGTTGGGACCAAAAATGTCACCTCCTATACATGTGGGACTAGTTTTGAATTTTTCCCGTGGATTACGTGTTCACTCGTGACAGAAGCACGAAATTGAGATTAACGTGATTTTCATTTGATTTCAGAAATTCCAAACTTGCACAAAGTCCCATATTAGTTTTCTCGGAAAACTTGAAGCGCAATCCCCACGAGATGTACACAAGGTAGAAACTCATGAAGGAATTCTGTAAATTTCTCTTCGCCCTTCTTTTTTTTGTTTTTTTTTTTAAGGGAAAAACTGGTGACAAGGGGCTACGTGGCCTATCCTTATACAAGAGAGAGAAAGAAAGTTGATGACGGGTGACATACGTGGCTTAGTTGTGTTCAAGAGAGAGGGAGACATGGGGATGTGGCCTCTTTTGTGATCAAGTTCTCATAAGCAAGCAAAAAATAATTCTGTAACTTTATTTCTTCTGCCAAACATATGTTCTCAACTCCCATATGACAACAATAGAACTTCTGGAGGCCCCAATAACGACAATAGAAATTCTCAAATTTCTCAGCTATCAGCTAAACGAAACTTGATTTTTTTTTAAATTACAAGCAGAGATACGAACTAGTTGAAATCTGTTTGTCTGGGGTGTTTTTTAATACAAACAGAAGGAATTGGCCGGAAAAATGCTGACACCATTGGATTTGAAACAAAACTCGGTAGTGTTTCTACAGGTCGAAGAATTACCTCAAATAAATTACGAGCCCCTTCCTCTAGCGCCAAACTGTTGATATGTGAAATTTGATCAACATGGGGTATTTATAAAATTGTTTGTATATATCGAATATATTGAATTTCTTGAATTTTTTGGTGTAATTGAATGAATCATCAATGAAGAAGAAGATCATTTTTGTAGAAAAGAAAACATGATAAAAGAGAGAGTTTAGAGAAAGAGGCACCGCCTTGCCGATAAAGAAAAGAACATCTGTAGCCCCTCAGACTTATCTTTCTGTGTCCATTATCGGGGATATATATATGTTTTTTGTCGGCCCGATATTATTACAAGAGGTGTTATTTTTGGGCTCTAAAATACAATAATTGATTTAATACATATCCACGTGTAATATTTTAATAGGCGAGGCCAAATTGGGTATCAACATCACTCTCTTTCTCTCTCTAGTTATGTTTGGAGCTTCAAGACTATATTTTTTTTTGTGAATTTCCGGTGATGTTATTTTTAGTAAAGTTTCGAGCTTTTCGGGTTTATTTCGTCCCGGCATACAATAAGGTTATGAGTACCTAATTTAAGACTTACTATTTCGCATTTGCTCTACTTTTTCTTACTACGTGTTAGAGGTAAAAATAGTGTCTCAGTTGGAGTTCATGTGGATTGACTCGGTTTTAGTTAAGTGTTTAGCTTTCATTTTGTTTTGCTAGTTAAGTGCGATTAGTTGGTTAAATATTGAATCTTTCAAGGTAAAAATCGAGACATTGTTAAAAGGTCAGTTATTTCGTAATTGAATGTTCGGCTTTAGCTTCTAGTTATGGTAAATGTAGCTCATTTCTCTTTGTTTTCGTCTTTTCTCAAGTGTTGAAGACTTCGGTTCGATAAAGCTCCAATCTTTAGTCAAAGTTTGCATCTTTAGGTAATTGCTCTTAATTGCTTATGTTAAATTAGTTTAAAATCATCCATCCAATCTCGTTAGCATGTTTAAGACTTTAAGTTTTCCTTTTTATGCTTTGACAAGTAGTAAGTGAAAGATGCTCCGAATAGCATTTCTTGAGAAACACGACCCGAGGTTGAGATTTATGACGTACTCGTCTAAGAAAGCTACTCAACAATGTCATACCTTCATTTCATGTATTACTTATGAAATAATACGTCAATGTATATTTTGTAAGAAACGGGGAAAAACGGGTACGGTCCCACGCAGATGAAGTGCATCATAACCAGAGAAGTCCAGATGAAGCCCAAGTGAGGTTTCATCCCAAACAAATAAGGCAAGTTGCACATGAATAGCAGAGACTGAAGTATTACGTAACCAAGTAAGAATCTGATGGTTCTTACTATCTAAATCCTCCAACTTATCGGCTTAAGTGGTAAAATCCTGTGGTGTGGGGTTAGGATCCCCTGAAAGAGACAGATGCAGAGGTGGCAACATATCACCAGTTACAATCCGCCACAATTTTCTCCAAATTAAAAAACTCTTCATAGACTGTGTCCAAAGACTATAATTATCTTATGATAAGACAACATTAATAAGAGAATGCACATCCATACGATCCATATCCAAAAATCAGATCAACACAATATCACGAAATAGATGAAAAATATTGGCACAAAACAAATCATGAAACCGCCAAAATATAAATATAGGACAAACTAAAAATGTCACGAAAACCAAAACCGACCACACCAGGACGTACCCAACGATGAGAGGAGTCGACGGCTGAAAAACGGCTGCGATCGGAGCTCGGGGTGGACCACACGCATCGGCCAAAGGGCGTAGCGCCGTGACGAAGAAGAGGCATATGCGGATGAAGTTGTATGAATGTGGGAAAAATAACTAATGTATTAATCACAAAAGTATCTACATGTATATAAAGACAAAATATGGGCTTATGTTAGGCCTTAATCTAAGCTAACCCTACAATACATAATACAACTACTATATAACTAACACCGCCCCCCTCAAACTCAAGGTGGCATACTGTAGATCAGCTTGAGTTTGCTAAGAAGTAAAGAAAAGCGACCGGAAAGAGGAGACTTCGTGAAGACATCTGGTTGTTGATCCATAGAGGAGATGGAAACAAGCTTCACAGTCCCATGTGCAACATGTTGTAGAATGAAGTGACAGTCGATCTCGATATGTTTGGTGCGCTCATGAATGGTATCATTATGAGACATCTTTATAGCACTCTGACTATCACAATTTAGAGCAGTAGACGACAACTGAGGTGCACCGAGATCAACAAGTAGCCAACGTAACCATAATAGCTCGGAAGGTGGAACCAGCAAGAGCATGGTACTCAGAATCAGCACTCGATTTGGAAACTAAGGTTTGCTTCTTACTACGCCAAGAGACGAGTGAATCACCCTGAAAGAAGCAGTATCCAGTAGTGGAATGGCGATCAATAGGATCTCCAGCCCAATCTGAATCAGAATAGCCACTAAGTGTCAAGGAAGAATGTGCCGAGAAGTGTAAACCATGCAACATAGTGCCCTTCACAAAGCGAAGAATGTGCAACACAACAGAATGATGCTTGGTTCTCGGAGCAGCCATAAACTGACTCACAATATGAACATCATGAGCTATATCAGGCCGAGTGACAGTAAAATATATCAAACTCCCAACATGATGATGATATAACGTAGGATTCTCAAGAAGAGAGCCATCTAATGGAGTAAGACGAACATCATAATCAAGAGAGGTGGAAGCTATCCGACAATCATTGAGACCGGCCCGAGCAAAAAGATCAGAGGCATACTTGGCTTGAGACAAATAGAGTCCATCAGGGAAATCATAAATCTCAAGACCTAAAAAATAATGAAGCTGGTCCAAACTCTTTATCTCAAAACACTGACAAAGATAGTCCTGTAAATCAGAAATACTGGTAACATCATCTCCCATGATGATCATATCGTCAACGTAGAGCAGCAAAATAATGATCCCGGATGAGGAGCGCCGAAGAAACAAAGCAGAATCGTGATCACTCGCAGTGAAACCAAACTGAAACATTGCAGAACTGAACGTGGCATACCAGGCACTAGGCGCATGTTTCAAACCATACAAAGCTCGGCGTAGACGACAAACCTTTTCAGGGGACAAGGACCCCAGAGGAAGAGTCATGTAAACCTGCTTAGATAAGGCACCGTGTAAGAAGGCATTTTTGACATCTAGTTATAGAAGAGACTATCGAAAAACAACAAAAACAACAATTAAATACCGAACAATAGTAAAACGAGCAACTGGTGCAAAAGTCTCTTCATGATCGATGTCGTACTCCTATGAGTACCCCTTAGCAACCAAACGAGCTTTGTAGCGCTCAATAGATCCATTTGAATTTGTCTTGATCTTATAAACCCATTTGCATCCAATGGGTGTCTTTCATGCAGGTAAATCCACCAAATCCCAAGTATGAGTCTTCTCCAATGTCTGCAATTCCTCAGCCATAGCTTGTTGCCACAATGGATTAACACTTGCCTCACAAAAAGATCTAGGCTCACGATGAGATAGTATGGCCGAATAACAATGATAGTCAAGTAAGTGAGAAGGGGGACAACTTACACGAGTTGATCATCAGTGATCAATGGTGGGCGAATGGACAAAATTAGAAGAGGACTCAACAGGAAGCGTCGGTTCAGGATGCGCAGGTGGAGCCACTTCAGAAGAAGGAGGCATGACGGGCGTGTCAATGAGCTATTGAGCCAGGACAAGTATCTGTAAAGAGATCCTAAGTAATGGACATGAAGAAAGGGGACGATGAATCGAACGAAATGTGAAATTTAGACAAAGAAGAAAAAGTAATATGCTCCAAAAAGGTAATGTGATGCAAAATACGCAACCGATTAGCAATAGGATTCCAACACCTAAACCCTTTGTGTTCAACCCCATAACCAAAAAAACAACACAGACGAGCTCGAGGTTCTAATTTGTTCCGCTGGGATAGAAGAAAAACAAAGCCAATACAACCAAAAGGGCGCAACTGACTATAATCAGGCGACTGACCATACAACCTTTTAAAAGGACTAATATCTCGAAGAACTGATGAGAGTAATAATTGATAGCATAAATAACAATCAAGGCTGCCACACCCAGAAACGATCAGGACTGAGCAGAAAAGAGAAGAGCACGAACAATATCAAGAATGTGACGATGCTTACGTTCAGCTCGTCCATTTTATTGAGAAGTATAAGGACATGAAAGTTGAACTACTGTGCCCTGATCAGAAAGAAATTTTAAAGAGGTAGAGTCCTTGTACTCAAGGGCGTTGTCGGTATGCAAGACCTTTATATGACAAGATAATTGAGTGTGAATCAGTCTAGCAAATTGAATATATATGGTGGGCAAGTCATAACGATGTTTGAGAAAATATATCCAGGTAAAACGAGAAAAATGATCAACAAAAATAACAAAGTACCGAAAACCATTCGTAGAAGCAACCGGGGAAGGACCCCAAATATCAGAATGAACCAAAACCAATTGGTGGAATGAGGAGTAACCAATTAGACTTATAAATTAGACCTATTTTTCCTATATAAACTATGTGAGACAACTCACAAGTGAATATTCTAATACGCCACCACACTTATGAGTCCTTAATAAGAAAGACCAAACTCATATACGGAGCTGGGTGCCTATTAGAACATACTCCCATAAACGGGTACGTGGGGGAAAAGCATGTACGTCATCGCATGACTCAGTAAAACTAGCTCTGATACCATGTAAGAATGATGAAAAAATATCTGTTGTATTAATCACAAATATATGCACATATATATAAAGACAAAGTATGAGCTTATGTGGGCCTTAATCTAACCTAACATAACCCTACAACACATAAACAACTACTATATAACTAACAATTTTATTTATTTAATTTTTTTTTCAGAGTATCGTCTTTTTTTTTTTTTT